GAAATAAGTTTTCGGGTACTCCAAACAAGTTTTTAACCTCATTTTTTCTTGAAAAAAGAAGAGTTAAAATAGCTTGAAACCGGGAAATGGAAGACTACAAACTAGCTACTTTTGTACAAACGAGATCGAGCAATGTTTGCCTGGTTCAAATAATTGTTTCTTTTTTGGTTGTCGGAGCATGTTTAAAATAATTGATTATTTTTAAGGTGTACTAAATTTTCTGTTCTGTTGCACAAAATTGAACGATTGTAACACGCCAAATTAAGCTCCTGTGTGACCCTCGTTTCTTAAAATTCGTGTTTTTTTTAAAATTATTTTCAATCACACATTGTATGGAATTCACAGACTTTATTAATGTTACAACACATTTTATCAACTTTTATCAAAATTTATTTTTTTTTATCCGAATTAAACAGGGGCTAAGTGAACTTTGTCAAAATTTAAATTAATATCTAAGCTGGTAAAATATACACTTATCCACAAATTTTTTCAAGATTCACAACTATTATTCCCTTATTATTCACAAATTCAATAGGATTCACAACAACTTGTAATCATTAAAAATACATTCAAGCACGTGTTGTTTTTAATTAGAACTTAGCGGGTCAAAGGATACTTCGACTAATGAATATGTAGTTTTTGGAAAGCATTTAACTAAAAATATAATGACTACATCCCTAAGTAAGGGATTACACTCAACCGTTCACAAAGCATGATTGCGGCCCTCAACATTCAAAAGCAATGATCTAAATCTCCAACTTATTATGTGAATATAAGTTCTCACGTGATAAAAAAATGTTAACGGAATAATGCTATTTGTACATAATGGAGTTACATAATAGTTACAAATACTGATGAGAAATTTTTTTTTACTCAATTATATCTCATCACATCGTGTGTATACACAATTGATGTTAACGTAGATGATAAAATCGCATACGACTTTCATGTGACTTGGAGTTGGAGGGCAAAATCATCGAACCATTTCACCTTTATCTCAAATTCTGATTGAAAGTTGTGTTCAATAGGTTTACATTGACATTTTCAATTGTGACGGCTTAAA